ACTAGACTTATTGAGGTGATCATTTCACAATGTGTACCAAAGTTGAATCACTATGTTGTACACCCAAAACTAATATTACATTGTATCTCAGTTATACTTCAATAAAATTCTTAGAATTAGGTAGATTTATATGTAACATGAAAATAAATCCACAATGTAATTAGCTTAAGAAAATGTTATTAAAAGAGGGGCGCCTGGGTGGCTCAGTTGGTTAAGCGTCTGCCCTCGGCTCAAGTCCTGATCCCAAGGACTGATCCCCCCAAGGGATCAGAATCCCGCATGGGGCTCCCTGCTCAGTGGGGAGCCTGCTTCTCCCTCTGCTTGTGCTTGAGCCTGCCACCCCCTCCACCCCCGCTTGTGCTCACTTTCTCTCTTTCTCTCTGACAAATAAATAAATAAAATCTCTAAAATAAATAAATAAAATTGTATTAGTTATTAATTTTTTTAAATAGAAAATGTTATTAGAAGATATATATTATAGGATTTTTGTCCTAAATAATGATAAGTATATAAAGGGAAAAAACTGGAAGGTTAGAGACTCAGCAGTTGCTCTTTCTTTTTTTTTTTTTAAGATTTTATTTATTTATTTGACAGAGAGAGATAGCGCACACACAAGTAGGGGGAGCGGCAGACAGAGGGAGAGGGAGAAGCAGGCTTCCCGCCAAGCAGGGAGCCCAATGCCGGGCTCGATCCCGGGACCCTGGGATGACGACCTGAGGCGAAGGCAGACGTTTAACTGACTGAGCCACCGGGCACCCCAACTGTTGCTTTTTCAAGGAGATAAGATCATCGGCTCTACCTTTCTACCTTACAGACTTCTTCATTATCAGAATTCCTTTTTTACAAAGCATATATAACTTTTCTATTTAGAACAAAATGAAAATAGTTCTCTTTTTAATTATTTGATGAATTAAGTCCCTAACATACCTACATACACCCACTATGTAAAATGAGCCTCTATAACACATCGTTTTACTAGCTGCAGAGTGCAGCCCCTATGAATTGAGTATAAATTATGCCTAATTTAAGTGATTCTCCATTACTGGATGTTTAGATTGTTTCCAAATTTTTGCTACTATAAGCAGAACTTAGATGGAAATCCATGGGGCTAAGTATTTGCACATATTCTTAATGTTTCCTTAGAATAAATTCCTAGAAGTGGAAGGGTAGGCACAGGATGTGGGCACATCTAAGGACTTTTGACCCATATTGCAAAATTATCCCACAAAATGTCAATGCCAATTTACTTTCCAAACTAATGTGGGAGGGTAGATTTTCCCTTTAGTAATTCTCAATAGTTAGTAATATTCAAGCCTGAATATTACTATCTCTTCTCCAATTTTTAACGATTTGGTAAGCAAAATGACATTTTTAGTTTGTATTTCCTTAATTATTAAGGAAAATGTCAGGATTCATATTCACTTATTGGCTATTTGTTACTACCGTGTGATCTGCTGGTTGGTATCTCTTGCCTGCTTTTCTACTAGGATCTTCTTTCTGGTGTGTAAGAATTCTTCATATTTTAGCCCTTTGTCATTAAGGCTAATAAGTGTCATTTGTCTTTTAGTTTTGGTTAAGGTTTTATGTTCAGAAACTTTTTTTTAATAGATTTATTTATTTTAGAGAGAGAGAGTAGGGAGGAGGGGCAGAGAGGAGGGAAAGAATCCCAAGCAGACTCCCCACTGAGCGCAGAGCCTACTGTGGGGCTTGATCTCACGACCCTGAGATCCTGACCTGAGCTGAAATCAAGAGTCAGACACTTAACCAACTGAGCCACCCAGGTGCCCCTGTTCAGAAACTTTTAATCGGTATCAATTTTTTCAACAATAAAATGCACTTGGAATTCCAAATTACTGACTTGTAAATGGGCATTTGAAATATAACCATTTGAAATACAACCATGTGTATTAGCCACTTTATCACTGGTTTTCTTATCTTTTCAACGAAAGCTCCTTGAAGGCACAAGTCCTGACATTTCTTGAACCCTCCATGGCAACTAGCACACAGCCCAGAACAGAACTCCAAAATGTTGGAGATGAAAACAATACTGTGTCTGGGATTTGCTTTGAAACAGTCCAGTTCGGGGTAGGAGATGAAAACAAGACAGAAATCAAACAGAATCAGCCACACGTTAGTAATTGTTAAAGCTGGGTAACGGGTACATGGAGTTCATTATACTATTATTTCTTTTTGTATATTTGAAGATTTCTGTAATCAAAAGGATTTTTTTCTTTCTTTTTTTTTCCTTTATGGATTGGCCACTAGCATCACAGCGGGGACTTCTGGAATAACAATGGTGATGAATATGAATTACACACACATCAAGGCCACTTTTTATAGCATAAAAACGTTAAAAGCCCAGGCTTTGAAATTAGGTAGGGCTGGGCACAAACCCTTTCTAGTGTAAGTGACCTTGAACCAGTTTTTCAACCTCTCTGAAACTGAGTTTTCCTTTATAAATAAGGGTATTAATAACTACCTCAAAGGGTTCCAGTGAAGATTAACAGCTCTAAAACTTGGTGCCTTGCACCAAGCAGCACTCCGCAGAGTAGCCATCATTATTACTCAGTGATGCACCAGCTTGACAGGCTCCAGCCAACGTTTCCTGGTGGTGTTAATCCAATACGCTTCCACTACAGCTGAGCTTTCAGTTAATCGGTTTGGGCACCAGACAACTGCTTGGCAGAGGCCTTGGCAGAACAGATGTCAGGAATTACGTTCCTGACACCCAGAAGAGAAAACAGATAAGGCCATAGGAAAGGACAAAGCACTTAACTCCCAACCTGACTCAGCAGGTCCCCAGAGAGCCTGAACTCCACATTCCAAGGATGCAATCAAGAAAAAGAGTGATGACAACAGCAGGTCATTCAAAACTTTGACCAGACACTATCATCACCTGCGGAGCTTAAAATAACACAATGTCTGGGGCCCACTCCCAGCCTTTGGGGTGTAGACTAGGTATCAAGGTTTTTCAAAGTCGCATGTGACCTAATGTGCACCACCCTGCTGTGTGGGTTGGGGTTCGGGCTGGGGAGGGACAAGGACAGGGCAAACAAAGAAGAGAACAGAGACCACCGCATCCCATGTGAACCCCACTAAAACCCGCCCACTCATGTGGTCCCAAGCTGTGCCCCATGCCAAACAAATCCAGTCCTATTAGGGCCCCCTTGCTCCCTCCATAAACTTCAAGAGCCCATTACCATGTAATAATTCACAGGGCTAAAATATGGTAATAACACCAGGATGCGTGCCTATCAATATTCTAAAGAATATTAAAGTAACACAGCTGGTCTCTGGATGTTGGTCTTAGAGAACAAAACAAAAAAGTCCGGCTAAGCGATAGTGGAGGCTGGGGGGGAGGGAGAAACACTCTGTCTCACAGCCTTCGGGCAGCCTGTCCCTGTTACTGAAGCACACTCAAAGAGGCAGGCTCCTTTCCTGAAGTTATTGCAGCGTCTTTGATCAAGGGAAAAAGCACATCCATTTCAATCACTGTAACGGGGATGAGCGGGCTGTCAGGCCGCCGGCTGCCCACCACGGCGAGCCAGCCTCGGGCTTGCAGACACATGGCAGTGCTTAGCGTGTCAAACAAACGAAGGGGCTCTTGACTGTCTATCCAACCTCTGCTGAACCTCAGGGGCCCCCTCATTTAGCAATTCTGCCCGGATTAATCTAGAAGTTCCTTTGCCGGCAAACACCACCTGGTCCGGACCGGCCTCGCCGAAACCAAAGCTGACCAGCAGCTGTGTGTCACAAGGCGGAAAGGACGTCAGAACCAGAAGGGCAGGAGCCAACCTTCTCACAAGCAACACACGGGGGTGACACGATCGTAGAGAAAGGGAAAAATGATGGCCATCAACTTCGCCTTCTCCCTACGACCTCTATCCCCCCCCCGCCGCCCGCCCCGTTCTCGGCCCCAAACTAAGTTGAGAGAAGTCTGATTTTCTTCCCTACACGTGATTTCTCAGCAGTGCAGTTTCAAACATATACACAAACATCACCTGCCTTCTTTTCACCAGAATAGACAATAAATAAAAAATGGAGGAGGGGAAGGTTCAAGAAAAGGTTTTACTTTCCTTAAGCGACGTCATCCGTAACATCTTGGGAAGACGTGAGGAGTAGCACCAGAGTGGATATGGGGATAATGCTGATGAAAATGTAGGATATTTAAATAGTGTCTATGTGTTCCAAGTGTGGTTCACGCACGAACGCATTTAAATCCTCACCACAGCCCTACGAGATAAGCTATAGTAATACTCCTATTTAATAACAATCATAACAATAGTAACATATAATAATATGTACAACATAATGACCATGATTATGTATAATGATGGCAATCATTATCTCGTGCTACTTGTGTTTTAGAAACAGTTGTGCCAACATCAACGTGGCCAACGTTACTTTTACACAAAGAACTAACCAGAAGACCATGCAGGATGAGAGGTGGGACTGCCCAAAAGGCAATTTTTAAATCTGAGTGCATGCATACACATGCATGCATGCACACACACATACACACACTGCACACACATACACACACACTCCAAGAATCACAGTAGATGTGTACTCAAAGGGAGCACTGCTTTGTTCAAGCACTAGGGGTAGGAAGAAGGGGAGTGCAGAAGGGGTAGAAATAAACAGTGAAGGGATTACCAGGGTTGCCCTTGGAAACTGGCAGGGATAAGAAAAATAATCAGCCTGCATTTGACAGAAGAGAAAAACAGAGACAGCCAGCAGGGAGGACGGGGACCAAGCAATGCTGGTTTCCTGGCTCGGACTTCCATGCCCCTTTTCAGGACCCACTGCCAGCTGGCAAGGGATGGCATGGGGGGCCCAGGAGGGGGAGTGCAGGCACCAGAAGGTAGCACAGGGGGGTGTCAAAGAGCCCTCAGCAGTTTCCCAGAAAGCAAAGGCTCTGAGGGGCCCTCCCACTCTCAAGCACCTCCCCTCGGCCTCAGTCCAGGAAATGGGTCTGAGAGACTTGGCCAAGGCCTCACCTGGGTAAAGGAGCCGTCTTCACTGCACTCTGGGACAAACACCGCCTCCTGCGGCTTCTTGGCTTGCTCCAGGGCCTGAGCCCGCTCCAGGCGACACTTGCTCTGGCCAGCGTCTATAAGAGGAGAGGAGGCACGAGTTTCGTACTCTGCTTGAATCCACACTGGAGCCATGAGACAAAATGGCTGCCCAGTACTAGGAAAGCTGAGGGAAAACCCTCTCTGCAGAAGGGAGAGCCCCCATACCTCCAACTGGCTTTTCTACCAACACAAGGGCAGTGGCTGGTACGTGCTGCTCAGCCTCACCTTCCTCTTAGTGTTATTCTTAGAAAAGTTAGGGAGGTGCATTTATACCAGATTCTGCTTATTTTTTTTTCTCCCAAGTACCCTTAGCGCCTCCCATGGGAAAAAAAAGTCCCACCTCTATTATTTTTCACTGGGCTTATTGAAAAAACCTGCAGGCCCAAGGGGTCTCAAAGATGTTTTAGAGTTCCAGAATTGCAAGCACTTTCTTTGGAAGATCAGAAGCTCTAGGGCAGCCTGTTTCATCTCACACAATTCCTACAACAGCTCTAAGCAGCCCCAGGGATCGCAAACGCAAATATCTACAGGGCAGAGGAACGTGATATAAATTAGGGAGCTGAACCAGGTGTGCAAAGAGTGGCATTCAGCTTGGCGGTACCACAATTAGAGAACAGCCCTCCCCCTCAAAGGAGGAAGCTGCCACCCAGGTCTAGCCATGTGTTTCCCTGTGGAATACTGGAACACAGACCTAATACGAGCTTCCAATTATTTATGAGAAGTACAAAAATCCAGATTTTTATGTTGAATCTCTCCATTTTTAAATGTTGTCACAAATGTTTTTAATATTTTTAAACATATGAGCAGCCCAAACAAAATACATCTGTTGGCCAACAATTTGGAAGCCCTCCCTATTCAGGAGCCAACAATAATGTCTTGCTATTTTAAGCATCTCCATTTACAAAAATAAAAAATAAAAATAAATAGCTCTAGCCAGATAGCAGCCCCATCTCTCTAAGCCCTAGCCTGGTGGCAGTGTTTGAAAGACATAATCATGCTCATTCCTTCGGGTAGGCCCTTTCTCCTTCCCCTCTTCCCCAATGGAGAAACACAAGGAACACAAGTAACAGACTCATTCTCAGCGTCCCCCACAGACAGCGCCCCCTGCAGGGCACGGTGGCGCCTGGGAGCCTCCTCTCTGCTGGGTGGATGTACACACACTCACCTTTGCATCTGCCTCGATGTACCACACCCAGGGTAGGGTCTCTGCACTTGGCTCGCTGGTACTCACACATGGACTCATAGGACCTGCCGTCAGAGGCACAGATGGGTTTGGGTTGAGTCCTGGAGCAGTGGAGGTTGCACTGAGGGTCACGGTCGCTTATGAGGAACTAGGTTGGAAAAAAGTGAAAGGGTGTCGAGGTTACTTTTGCAAGAAAAGTAGGGGTGAGTCCATGTCTCACAATACTGGTTTGCCTGGGGGAGCAAGTCCAGAATAAACCCAGTTATTAAACCCTAGAAGTGGAATGGAGCCACAAAGTCTAACCAAGGAAAGCATCCCATGCTAAGTAATTCACAGGCAGGATCTCCTTAATCCTAGCAACAGCCCTGTGAAATAGGAACTATTTGTTTCGTAGATAAAGAAACTCCAGCCAGAAAGAGGTAACTGGTCCAACATTACACAGCTATAAGTGATGGATTTGAACCTAGATCAGTCAGAAGTCAAATCAAAGCTTTCACCACCAGGATATTCAGCCTCTCCATCCTTGCACGTGGCCACATAACCCTATTTGGGTACTTCCCCAAATCAGGAACTCACTAGCAAACTCTACATTCCATCTTTGGAGAGTTTAATTTATTAGAAAGTAGCTTGGAGACCCAACTCGATCACCCTTCAATTTCTGCCTACTGCTCTCTGGCAAAATACAAGTGATTTTCTATGAGAAAGGGATTTCCTGATTTAAAAAGATAATAATCATCAAATCAGGAAATACTGAGTTAAGCAGGTTTCTTTTTTTTTTAAGATTTTATTGATTTATTTATTTGAGAGAGAGAGAAACAGCATGAGAGGGGAGAGGGTCAGAGGGAGAAGCAGGCTCCCCGCTAAGCCGGGAGCCTGATGCGGGACTCAATCCCTGGACTCCAGGATCATGACCTGAGCCGAAGGCAGTCGCTTAACCAACTGAGCCACCCAGGTGCTCTGATGGTTTCTTTACTGCAAGACTTCTCAGACATCTTTGGTACGTTCTTATGCATCATGATAGCAGCAAATGGTGTGCTACTCCTCCCATTTTGCTAATTCCTCCCCTTGAATCTGGACTAGCCTCAGTAATTTGACCAATAACATGCTATGGAAATGAGGTTTTGGGACTCCTGAGCTTTACAGTTTCCTCCCAGGCCTCTTGCAACACTCACTCTGGGGGAACTGAGCCACCACGCAGGAAGCCAAACAACCCTGAGACCGCCACACTATGAGGAAGCCCAAGCTAGCCTGTGACAGAACCATGGGCAGAGAGAAATGCCCAACCAACCCAGGCACAGACACCAGTGAGTGAAGAAGCCATTCAATGAGTCCACCCCCCACTATCATCTGATTGCAGCTACCAGATAAAAATAAGTAACTGCCTGAGACACCCCAAGTAAGAATCGCCCAGCTGAGCCCAGTCAACCCATGGAGCTGTAAGGGACAATAAACTGTTGTGCTAAGCCATCCAGTTTTATGGTATCTTGTTACACAGCAAGAGATAAGCAGATCAAAGGGCATGTAGGATGATGCATCTCCCACTTACTTATTTGACCATGAACCCTTTTATCAGTGAACCCCTGTTAGCAACTATAGGATACAGCTGGAAAATAATTGGATCATACAATAATCCATGAACTTCTGTTGAATAACCCATGATTAAGCTGCATGGGCCTTGAGAGCTGGATCCACGCTTATCCACCCCTAAATAGCAGAGTTGTAGGTCCACTCAAGGCTCTCTACCAGTACAAGTTGACAGAATGCATATCCCACAATAATGCATGGCAATGTCATGGGCACACCTGGCTATTGGTGATAATTGAGTTGACTGAATAATCATGCCAAGCTCATAGGGTTTAGGGAAGGTGTGAGTACAACCCCTGTTTCAGATGTATCTTGAGGCCCTTTGTGCAAAGCAAATAAATGAGAACTTGACCCTTTTCCAGAACAGCAGAGGGAGTCTGGAGGCAGCATGACCCCCTTCAAGGGAGCACTAGGAACACACACCCCCATACTGGCCAAATTCCCAGAGAGTCCAAGCCCATCCACTAGCACACAGACTGCCTCCCAACTATAAAACCAGTCCGTTCCGCTACCCTGACCTCACACCTGGGTGCTGGCTGCTCAGCACAGGGAGGGAGCAGCTGAGGGCTGAAACCATGCCAGCCTCCTCAGGATGGACAGTGCAACTTGTCTTCCCTGCAGACCCTCGGGGCTCCCACATGCGCCGTTCAACCTGAGTCCTGCCCAAGCCCAGAGGAAAATGTCCTGATAGTGTCTCATAATAGAGTCTAGTGTTCTGCGATTGAAGCCAATACTATAGAGAGCCATATCCAGAGGAAGCCCACTACCTCCCAGGCTGCCACACAGAGGGAAGAGTTTAAGCTCACTAGATAGCAGCCAGGGGTGGTATCATCCACACCTCAACCCTGCATGGCATCCCCAGCCTCACTCCCCTCAGGCTGCCCCTGCTAGAGCAGTGTCCCATCACCCTGGGGACCTTCACATGGTCTCCTAGGCCTGGCAGAATCTGACCCTGGGGCCCCTTCCCTGGCCTCAGCTCTTATGGCCTTGTCCCCACCTTGCTCACCACTGCTCAGGTACACTGGCCTGCTTTCCATTTCCCAAATAAGCTACATTTGTTCCTCCCTCCAGGCCTTTGGACACACTGTTCCTTCTCTCTCCCCTCCCACCCCTACTTCAGATTTTGGCTCATATCATCTCTTTTAGGAGGCTTTCCCTGACTCTCACAGATGAGCACAGGTCCCCTATAATACCCTCTCACACCTCACTTTTCCTTCACGGCACTTAACAGTTTGTGATGATGAACTATATTATCTGATTAACAATGGAATCCCCAACTCTGAAACCTGCAAAGACAAGGAGAATGTCTATCTTGCCTGTGAATACATCCCCAGCATCTAGAACAAAGCTGGGACACTTGAGCATTTGAAGGATGAATAAGATCTTGTAGCAGCATCTCCCACATGGCATTACCTCCAAACCAGCTGGTGCAATGTGACAGGTCCGGCCTGTGGGCTCCTGCCACCCCAGGAGGTCACTGGGCCATGCTCCCACCCCCTCTCCCCCCTACATTACATGGTGGGCAGAGGTCTTCCACAGCTTCCTGCCCCGGCTCCACCTCAAAATTTAAGTTGTCTCTGAGATTGAGAGGTGGGTCTTTTCTCTCCTACCCACCCAGACCTCTCTACCACCACAGGCCTCCCCATCCACCACCAACGGTGCGCCATGGAAAACTTGGAATGCAAAGGTCCAGCTGAATGAGGCAGGCTTGGGAAGCCCTGGCCACAGGCTCCTGAATGGGCACAGGACACAGGTGGCTGCAACCAGCAAAGCTGGCCTCAAATGTCTCTCTTCCTCCCTCTGTGTGGCCCTCCCAGACCCATTCCTAACCTGTCGGTGGCCTAGAAATGCAGCCAGACCTGGCTCTGTAATTTCACCCGGTGAAGAGCCAGCCCCCAGCCAGAAGTGGCATTGGTATCCTCCCGCCCAGGCTTCCAGGCCAACCTGTGACCCCAAGACTGTCCGAGAGCAGGTCAAGGCGCTGTTGTTATCACATGACTGTTTTCTCACCTGTGGATCCAGACACTACTTATCTGAAGTGACACCTGCTCGTAAGACCTACCTTGTTAGGTTATTTTGCCATGGGAATCAGCAGGGGCCAAGGAGAAACATGCCCTTTTTTTCTCATGGTCAGACAAGGACAGAACTATCTGTATCTTCTAATGCCTGGGAAAACCAAGGAACTCATCCTTGGTGACAAAGGGATTTGGGTGGCCAGACCTTAAGTCTGAAGAACAATAGTAATAAAAGCTGATAGTTAGGTATCACTTATGACACGTTAACTAATTTCCCTCTATGAGGCAGGGTAAGTTACAATCCTCATTTTTACATGAAGAAACCAAAGCCCGGTGACCCCTCCAAGCACATATGTGTGAGTGTTGGATCTGACACCCACAGCCTAGCTCAGAGCTCTGCTTCCAGCTACACCAAAACCGCCTTTTTCATTATTACAGAGGAAGGCCGCAAGTAGGAGCTCTGACCCAGTTGAAAAACTGGATTCCCAAAGTCAAAAACCGTTTACCAAGAGCCTACTGTGTGCCAGCCGCCAACCGCTGAAGATCCAGACAAGACAGGCCTGCCTTCCGGGCACTAGAAGCCTAGTGGGAGAAGCTCCTCACAGGGCCCTTGTTCACCTTAAAAGGCAGGGATCAGAAAAGACAAAGTGTCTTTTCAAACTCAAGGAGATTGCCCTGTTCTCTCTTCCTCAGCTCACGGGAGAGGAGAGCTGTGGGCATCTCCATGGCATTGAACTACAAGCCATAAATTTGGTTTGGAAATGGCTAGCTCTGGGCCAACAGAGACGCCACGGCAGCTGTGCCAGAGACCAGCTTAATGACTGGGGGAACATTCTGTCTGCAAATAGACAGGTTAAAGAGCTTCAGAAGAAGCCCCACCTACCCCAACACATGGAGATCCTTCCCACCTCCACAAGGGCTCCCAAAAGGTTCCATCTAGAAATTACTGGTCCCTGAGGCCAAGTAAAAAAGTTCCGAGACAGCATGGGGCCATTGCTAAAAGACTGTCTTCCACCGTCTGTGGTGTCTCATTTTCATCTGTTTTAGGAACTGTGTGTATTTGTGGTTGTTTAAAAAAAAAAAAAAAAGAAAAAGGCGATGAGTTCTATAAAATGAACTTTTAATAGGACATCTACGCCCTAATACGATCACCCAAACCTCCAGGGCCCAAGGGGATTGAGTCCACAAACACTGTTTATTCAGCCATCCATTCACCCACTTTTGTCTTCAACAAGCCAGGACTACGCACCCAGCACTGCATGAGGCCCGGCAGGCAAGAACAACCCTCACAGTCCTGCCCCCACTGGGCTTGCACTCTAGGGTGGAGACAAGTGAGCAGACAGTGGCCGTACAGCAAGGGAACAGGATACTGCAGGACCCAGAGAGGATTTAATCCTAGGGACTCTGCAGTGCTAAAAGCCACACAGTCCAGCAGAACTTCCTGTGATGAAAAACATGTTCTATATCTGTGCCGTCTAACACAGTGGCCACACACCACATGTGGCTATTAAGCACTAAACTGTAGCTAATGCAACCGAGGAACTAAATT